TATAATATTCTAAAAAAATTGATTAATCTATCGCAGGAACCAACGAGCTGCACCCTCACAGTTAGGGTGATGCCGACCTTCACTATTCCAGCAGCCGAGGGACTTGCGTACAAGCCGACCCCAGAGACAAGAGTGCATGGAGCGCAACTCAGGGCCGACTGTGCAAAAGTTCAAGTCGACTCGGTGAAGCCCGAATACGAGCTGTTCCCTCTGAAGTATCCACCGAACGACGAGGTCCTCTCACTAGGAAATGCCCGTGGTACCTTCATCCAATGGCCCAAGGACCTCATTGAGATCAGGGTTACAGCGAGGCCAACCACTGCACCAGGCGGTCGTCCACCAAAGAGACCCGCCTCTGCTCCATCAGCCCCTCCTGCTCAAGATCGTCATGCACAATCTTACGATGTGCAGTTGTAGTACGACACGGATTTTGGGGAGGACCGAACGGAGGCCGACAGCAAGGCGATTCATGAACCCCCACTGATGAAGAAGAGCAGGAAGGCACACTCTTCCCCTCAGAGAATTACTCTCGATAAACCCGAAGCAAAGGGGAGAGGAAGGGGAGGAAAGGTGCAGGCCTCGCTTCTAGCTCCAAGAAAGCTAGATCTGGGCAAGGGCCAGGAAGAGACTAAGGGCAAAGAGGTCAAGAAGAAATACGTCGCTCCAAAGGAGTTCCAACTAGGCATGCCATTGGTTGGAGATGACGTGCTTGCCGCAATGGGCACCGCTTGCAAGGACCTTCACTTATACTACATGGAGAAATCTAACGCCAGGAAGCCAAGTAAAGCTACCGATATCCTTGGACAGCACGATGGAAAGCCATTCCTTAGTCCAACAAATTATATCGTGGTCGACTTCAAGGATCTTTTCGACCTCTACAGGCTCCGAGCGGTGGACACAAGCCTCCTTAAGTGCTACTCCTTGTAAGTATTGTCGCCCAACTCATTCTGGTAATAACAATCGGTTTAACTTGCTTACAAGATCGTTGATCCTGTGTGTAGGTTAAGTTGGCAATGGTGTCAGAAGCATGCACCGGAAGTTGCCTTCCTTGATCCACAAGTGGTCACTGTCACAAATCTCCAGAATGACCGTCAAGGAATGGTCAACTACATCTACGACACCTTGTGGTCCCGCCGAGACAAGGAGTACATTATGTGTGCCTATAATCAATAGTAAGTGTGTTAACTAAATATACACAACAGCATGACACATTCCTTGAGTACTTAATTAACTTTCACTATATTAATGCCGCAGTGCCCATTAGATCCTTCTGGTCATAACACCTAAATGGAGTACATGTCATTACCTGAACTCCAGAATTGATAAGAACGCATATGATTGGACCCCAATTCAACTAGCGATAGATGAAGCGTGGGCCCAATACGTGCAAAGAGGAGGCCTCAGGAAGACAGGACATGACACCCTCATCCACAAAAAAGACTTCCTGGTGAAGCAACAAATAGGTGACCAGTGCGGATTCCATGTGTACCACAACATGCGACTTCTATATAGAGAAAAGGTGAAGACTTTGGCTGAGTTTGAGGTCGGTGGTCTCAATTGTCATAGACTAACTACATTTTAGTACTTATATATGATCGATCAACTAATCTGGAATTATGACAATGTAGGGCACAATAACCAAGTCTCTGACTACCAGCTTTGAGGAGGTTCGCGAGGAGATAGCCAGCTTCATCCTCCGCGAAATAACTAACCCCAAAGGAATGTTTAGGCTTAAACTAAAATGATGAACAATGTTGAACTTCTATGTTTAGGCAATGATGAACACTTATTATGCAACTGTGGTGATGTAACTGTGATGCTTATATTTATATATATTTCATATGTTTATGTTAAGACTTGCTAAATAAATATTTGATCCAATTAACTCGGTTTTGCAGGTGAAATATGATAAATATTTGAATGGATGTGAAATATGTGAATGGATGTGAAATATGAGATGGCTGTGAATGTGTGGTTGTGTGAAATATGTTGATGTCTGTATATGTGAATGCATATGTATGAATGGGTGATGCTGGGGAGCTGGGGATATTGGATATCTATGTTTGTTTCTGTCATTTTTGCAGCAGGCATGGCTAGCAAAGGCCTGAGGCTAGCCAAAAAACAAAATTTATTTTTTTTGTGGATTATAGTCATCTGTGACGGGCCATAACTAAATGCTCGATTGAGATGAGATCATCTGTGACGGGCTCTAGCTTAGGCCTGATTGAGGTCACTAGTCATCTGTGACGGGCTCTAGTTTAGGCCTGATTGAGGTCAGCAGTCATCTGTGACGGTCTCTAGTTTAGGCCTGATTGAGGTCATCAGTCATCTATGACGGGCTATAGTTTAGGCCCGATTGAGATGAGTATCATCTGTGACGGGCTCTAGTTTAGGCCCGATAAAGGTTAGTAGTCATCTGTGACGGGCGCTAGGTTTGGCCTGATAGAGATAGGTCATCTGTGATGGGCTATAGTTTGACTGGTCGTCTGGGTTAAAACTATCGGTGACGGGCTTTACTTAGGGCCTGATTGAGATATATTCATTCGTGACGGCCGTTTGCCCGATTGAGATAACTCTTCACATCAGTAACTTCTAGTCTGTGACGGACGCTGTGCCCGATTGAGATGGGGCTTACCGCCCGATTGAGATGAGGGTATCCGTTCTAGTGACTTATAATTCCTTCTAGCTCGTAAATCTTGGCATCAATCTTGCCGAACCCCGAGCCTGTCTCCACGGTGGTGGCGGAGGGCACCACACCGCGCTCGTTGGCTGAGCCTGGTTGTAGCAAAAGCATCCAGCTTATAGCCTTGTTGCGCGAGCTGGACTCCCCACACCACCGAGGACAATCATTGGGCAGGCCCGCCCTCTCCACTCGACGACATCCCAGCGGAGGGCGCCGCACTACACTCGCCGGCAGAGCCCGGTTGCCGCAAAGGAGTCCTATTCTTAACATTGCTATGTAGGCTGGCCTCCTCCCATCGGCGAGGAGAATCGTCGCCGCCAGATTCACCCCCTCCCCTCGATGACATTGCCGGTGTGGAGAGGGGGTAACACTGTTTTTTAAAAAATAACACCCCACCTTGTGTGTCAGAAATATCACGAAGCCTTGTTGGATCGGTATGGTTGGAAATGGGTCTACACAAAATGGATCTAAACCTAAAAATGTGTTCCAGGCCAGATAACATGGTACAAATCTTGACGTCCATCCGAGATTAAATATTTCGAAAATGCTACACACACAACTAGATCGTCTGATTTTCGGATGACTACGAGTACACAACAACGTTAACGTGCGTGTCGAAGGGTGAACTCCTCCTCCAGGGAACCGTGAGGCCTCCCTTTTTAGGTTTGACCGGGGGCAGTGGGTGAGATTCGAAGGCTTGGAGAGCGAAACTGTGTGATCTTGAGAGGGTTAGGCCCCTCCAAGACGATGAGACAAAAGGGGTTTATACAGGTTCGGGCCGCTGAGAAGCGTAATACCCTACTCCTTTGCTATGCTGATTGTGGGAGAAATTACAAGATCTCCTTATTGGAGTAGAAGGTGTTGATCATGAGGGGCAGAAGCTGCCCCCCTCAATCCGTCCATCCCCCTCCCTAAGTAGGCCTGGATCTCCTTTTATACCTTAAGGGGTTACCACATGGGTCCAACAACCTAACTTAGTGGAGAAATATTACAATCTTTGCATTAAATGCATGTCTTGTCTCTTAACTTGGGAAGCCAAGCGCATGTCGTCTTGATGATGGGGCCTGTCAAATTAAATGGCGACTGACACGAGGGGTGCCCCTGTCAGTCGCCATTTAAGGGATGAAGACTTTTGGGCTCCTGTTTGACCAGAGCGGATAAATCGACTCCGGCTATGATGAGAGACTAAAAAGCCTCTCATTATGATGTGACGGGACAGAGCACGCAGCACGTCGCCTGGCACACTGACAGGGTGGGGGTTCACAGCCACTGTCCCATCGATCAATCGACCGGTCACGGACCGGTCACAGATCGGTCACAGACCTATCAGATGCGCAACATGCCGCATTAAATGCCGCGTGACACGGCTGCAAGGACTGCTTTAAATGGGTTAGGTGGGCATCAGGCGTGTCCACCTAACCCTGTACACGTGGGCTGATACGTGGAGGGGGTCGGGGCAGCCCGACCCCAAGTTGGGAGGGGGTAGCCGCTGCTCCACCCTGGGCTCGACCCCCCTCGAGGGGAGCCACGTGGGCTTGGGGGTGGCCTCCTCCCTCTAAACGTGATACTCCGGGCCCATATCACCAACAAGGCGGAACGTCAATCTTCGTGGGTTGTAGGCGTGCAGCACGAACCTACAAACTTGTTGCCGCTTCCTTCCAAGTGCTAGGTCTAATTTCAATCGACGAACTAAACAAGACATTAGCATGTTTATTTTTATGCAATGATTGGACAGTACAGTATACTTCGTACTTTATGGTTTTCGATGTCACTATACCTTTTATTATGTGTGTATATACGCAAAAACAGAATATTGAGACAAAGTTAGCAAGCACTGGATTTAGGCTGTGTTTAGTTCAGCACAAAGTTTGAATTTTGGTTGAAATTAAAGATGATGTGACTGAAAGATTGTGTGTGTATGACAGATTGATGTGATGGAAAATGACTGCAGTTTGGATCCAAAATTTGGATCTAAACACAGCCTTAGCTTGACGAAATTCAGGCAGAAGCTGTTACACCGGTCGGATGGAGGAGTCGTACTGGGTTCTAAATATTTGAGTAACGATTTGATAGAAAACACGCTGATCATGTATATAGAAAAAAAAAATCTCGAGCACGGGCACCGCTCCATCAAAAACAAAATTTGGCGCGCGTGCGCCTCCTATTCCCGCTTCTTTTTCCCTCCATTATTATTCCCTGGTTAAGCACGCCGAAAGACAAGATCAATCACAGCCATCCATACCTCACCAACGGCATCAGATCCACCGAACGGCACATGGTCCAGTCTGCCGTCCTCTACACATTCTCGCCTTCTCGGACCCTAGTTCCCCATTCCACCAAAACCCCCAAATCCCTCGTCTCGTTTGCCGCCGGCGATGGCGGCGGCGGCGCCGCCCACAGGCAAGAAGCGTAGATTCGAGCGGTCCAGCAGCCAGGAGCCACCCGGGAGCGGCGGCCTCGACCTCATCAGCGGCCTCCCCGACGCCATCCTCGGCGAAATCATCTCGCTCCTCCCCACCAAGTATGGCGCCCGCACGCAGCTCGTCTCCCGCCGGTGGCGCCCCCTGTGGCGCTCCGCGCCCCTCAACCTCGATGTTTACGATCTCTCCGGCCAGGAACGGAAGCGCGTCGCCCTTGCCTCCAAGATTCTCGCCGAACACCCTGGCCCCGCCCGCCGCTTCTCCCTCCACTGCTTCCGCCTCCGCGGCAGGCACGCCAAGCTGGACGGATGGCTCCGCTCCCGCGCCCTCGCCGATCTCCGGGAGCTTAGTTTCAGCTACGAGGTGGAGCGCGAGGCGCAGGCGCAGGCGTACCCGCTGCCGCCGTCCGCTCTGCGGTTCGCGCCCACCCTCGTCGTGCTTTACCTCAGCAGCTGCGGTTTCCCCGACGAGATGCCGCCGACGCTGCATTTCCCTCGCCTCAAGCAGCTCACGCTGTGCAGCGTCGCTATCTCCGAGGACGCCATCCATGGCGTGCTGTCACGCTGCCCTGCATTGGAGAGCCTGCTGCTGCAGGGGAATTTCGGCGTTCGCCGCCTTCGCATCAACTCCGCATCTCTCAGGAGCTTCGGCTTCTATTCGAAATCCTGGGGCTTCTCTTCTGCATCTTGGAATGGATTTGCTGGTGCCGAGTTGCAGGAGGTGGTCATCGAGGATGCCCCTTGCCTTGAAAGATTACTGCCACTTTGTCCCAATGATGGCGTGGCGGCCATCCGGGTGATCGCGGCGCCTAAACTGGAGATAATGGGACCACTCTCTGATGGCATATCTCAACTCCACCTTGGAACAACGATTTTTCAGGTAGCAGCAGGTTTCATTAAATCACGATTATTCATTGCTAAATGATGGTGGCTATTATTCTTGATATGATGTGTTCTTTTCTGCAGGAAATGACTGCTGTCAGCCTTACAACCTCAATGCGAAGTGTGAAGGTTTTGGTTCTTGATTCTGATGGCCCTAATCTGGATGCAGTTGTTGACTTCCTCAGTTGCTTCCCCTGCTTGGAGAGGCTGTATATTGCTGTAAGTATTTCCCATTTTTTATTATACTCTTGTCAAGTATTACATTGCTAACCAGTTAGCAACTGCTTTCAAATGGTTCTTTCCATTTACAGTCTCAACCGTTTAAGGTTATTAAAAATACGCGGAGGTATGACCCGCTAAATCCAATAGAATGCATTCAGTTCCATCTCAAAAAAGTGGTGATAAGAAATTATGGAGGAAGGAGGTCAGATGTCGACTTTGCCAAGTTCTTTGTTCTGAATGCAAAAGCGCTAAGAGAAATGGAGTTAGCTGGCCTTAACAATTGCAATCAGAAATGGTTGGCCAATCAACACAGGCGGCTTCAATTAGAAAAGAAAGCATCTCAAAATGCTCAATTTACATTTAAAACTACCCATACGAGTGATTTCAGTATGAACAAGCACACCCATGATTTGTCAATATCTGATCCCTTTGATAGGTCTTTATGACCATGCTGCTCTCGGATATGATACACATGCAGTCTTGTATTATGTTCAAATGTTATATTTGTACCTTCTCTTGTTTGGATTTTAGTGTCGTACTATGTCAGCAAGTTAATGAGTTATCTTTATTTAAAGCCGCAACCTAGTAAGTTTTTACCACTAATACATTCCCTTGGCTATGGCAGTCCTATTTTCTGATGTGTAATATTATTGCTGCCCTTGAATTGTTCCATACATTTTTCCAACTGAACTAAATTAAAACCACACGCACAATTATGCTACATGTGGAAAGTAATTTGGCTGGCATATCCAGAATAGCCTGACCATCATTCCTCGAATGTATTTAATAGATAGTAATCTATTTGAATTTTTGGTGCGTAAATGCCATTTGTGGATGCTTTTTGGTTTCACAGATTATACCATTCTAATTTGATAACATAATGTGGATTTTATGTATCAACTGATTAATATATACAGAAGCGTGTGAGTTCCAATCAACACGTCGATGTATTATATTGTATTGTTTTGATGTTTATACAAGGTTAAAATAGTGTGCATACAAAAGCATGTGAAGTTCAAGATTCAAATCAGGATTTCTCAACATATTTATATCATATACTTTAGATGCTTGGAGAAGGTAAACCTGCAGTTTGGTCCCATTTAAGCCTATGTAAAATGAGGAAAACGTGACGCTACTGTCTTTATTTTCCTGCAATATGTATTATGATGTACTATATATTATATTTTCACAAGGAGTGTTTGGTGTTCTATTTAATGACTTAGTCATATGGAATAGTATGAGAATTAATGTTAGCATAAAGGCTCGGAGTTAAATAAGGCGGCAGTTCTTTTTACTGAACGTTCATGCGATTAGATCTGTACTACCAACTAATTGTTATGTTCTGAAATAATAAATTCAGTTAACTGTGACTGGCAGAGATGAAATATGACTTTGTTACTTCTGTGAAGAACTGTTGCATTGGGTGTGCTTTCAGTAGTTTGACGTTAAGCAATATCTTTTATGTTCTTATTTAGAACCGTGCAGTGCAGCATGTTGAGTCATCCATTACTAGGCCTATCTAAATAAAAGATAATCCCTTGTATACCTTTTTGTTTAAGCCATATTTGTTTTAGCAGTATATACACTTCTGGTTTAATTTTGGTTAGTGTTGCAAATCCGTTAGTGGAGTCATAACATAATATCAGCTAAATACAGCTACCTTTTCTGCACAACATATTATACTGTGTGTCTGTCATTATACACCTCCAATTACGTGTTTCTATGCTTTACATCTGCAACACGTTCTCTGCTTTTTGTCTATTTGAAATTGTGAAGGGATATGTGTGCTGTAATTTTTTTTTCCCGAAGTCGTCGCGCTCTTTGTTAGAGAGTTCAGTAGTCCTTAAGTCTGCATGTCTAAATACTCTATTCGAGAATTGCATGTGAAGTTTTGAGAAAGATATATACTACGTAACTTAGATGCGCAAGAAAATATTGCCGACTAGTTTCTGTATCTATCAATGAAATTACAATTGGAAACCCAATGCAGAAATATATTGCTGACATGTTTGCAGAATCCTTCCTTGAATCACGTGGCAGTCCTAATGAAGCAATTACTAACTAGAGAGTACAAATGGCAGTTCAGAAATCAAAATTTGTGATTTCTATGTACTCCTTTCATCCCAATAGGGGTGAAACCGGAGCGGATTCGGACGGATAATAGCTATACCATATCCTAAACTATTTTTTTAAGCGGATGCGGAGAGGGTGTGGATGACGTACGGATGCGGAGCGGATTATTTCGGATGTCGGATTCGGTGTGGAGTCGGTGCGGACTCGGTTCGGAAATGGACAAAAAGTTGTCGGATGTCAAGTTTGTATTCAATCCATACAACAAGAGGGCGGCAATACAATTAGCCGCAATACGATGGCAAAACAACATATGAACATGATCTCAGCTCTCTAGGAAAAACCAACCAAAACACATCAATAATATAATTTTGCTTAATATAACACATCCATCAAAAAAACATGATATAAGTGTTCAGTTCAGCAGTTCACTGCATTGCTTAAAATTTAAAAATGTAGTGTTCAGTTCAGTAGTTCACTCATAAGTACGATAGGCATGAGGCAATGAGACATACAACAATATAGGCATACAGCACACAGCCACACAGCACAGTAGCACACTACATACAGCACACAACACACTAGTTCCATACAACACACTGCCTACAGCACACAGCACACTGTCGACGGACTAGAAGGAGGAGCGGCGGAGGTGGCGCCAGCAGGCTGCAGCGGTGGCACGGCGCACCTATGGTGCCATGCGGCGGCGCGTGTGGGAGCAGGAGAAGGGACTGAGAGAAGAGTCACAGAGAGAGATTTAGGGGAGGATTGGATTAGGTTACACTAGATGGGCTAGATGGGCCGCCCGATGTAAAATGTGCTAAATAGAGTTGTTGTGTGGCTTGAAAGTTGCGTATTATCCGCTAAACAGTACATCGGATAATCCAGTTAAAATATCGGATAATCCGTATCCGTCGGATATAGTTGATACCATATCCGCATCCGCATCCGCATGATAAAATTCGCATCCACATCCACATCGGGCCGGATATCCAAAAATCCTTACCATATCCTCACATCGGACGGATTCGGAGCGGAGCGGATCGGATCGAATAATATCCGCTCCGTTTTCACCCCTACATCCCAAGATATAAAAAGTTTTGGTTGGATGAGACATCCTAGTACTACGAATCTGGATAGGTTGTCTCATCCAAGCAAAACTCTTTATATTTTGAAATGAATGGAGTATTGTATTATTAATATAGCTCGAAAAGAAGCCACCATGTTCGCTATAGAGACTAGAAATTTCCACATTAATCTGTTGAATAGTCCCACATTGGTTGTGGAAGGGCAAATGACCTAAGATATAAGTGGGGGAGCCCCTCGCCTCAATGGCTAGCTTTTGGGGTAGGAAAGGCCCTTTACGATCCTACAATTGGTATCAGAGCTAGGCTAGGTTAACATCTCTGGCCCGATGGACACGTGTGTCGTCCTGATGGACCGTGGATGCCTGCGGGGCCTGTATACCTGATGGACCGTGGGCCGGTGGGGGCCCGGATATGGTGAAGGGGCGGTGAAGGGCTGAGGGACACCAATGTGTGAAAGGGGAGATTGTTGAATAGTCCCACATTGGTTGTGGAAGGGCAAAGGACCTAAGATATAAGTGGGGGAGCCCCTCACCTCAATGGCTAGCTTTTGGGGTAGGAAAGGCCCTTTACGATCCTACAATTGTAAAATCAAAGGTGTTTTTGATTATTATTCTGTGATGAACAATTGGGCATTGGAGATTATTGGTTTTGTTATTTGGAATTTATTCACGAAGTGAGTTTGGAGATGATTGGATTTACACGTGAATCGTAGGTTCATTATTTCATGTGACCGGTCAAACCGGGCAGTGTGTGCCAGTTAGACCGGCGGTGATCGAGCGGTTGGACCGGCCAGCCCGCGGTCTGACTGGCCGACGCTGTGTCGGTTTCGGTTTTGGGTTGTTTGTTTGGATATCCGTGATTGTTTCATTATTATGGCTTCTAGATGGATACTATACGTATGTAATACTGTCGTTTGCTACTGATGAGTCAAGTTGGAGATAACTTGGTCTCGGAATATGGTTTCTTTGTTTATTTCATGTGTAGGTGACTCGATGCCTCGGGAGAGTATTTGCGATGATGGACCGGGAGTCGGCTTGGGGATAAGACGACGTCCGTGGTGGTCAGAGATCATGCGGGATACTTAGGCTAGAGTTGATGCACGTGGTTGATGGAGATTCCATATGGCATACGATGGAGTTGATGGGATGCGGAGTCGAATTTGGAAGGAGTCCAAATTTGGTACGATTGGTTATATATGTAAAGTATCTTTCTTGTACTAGAGGGTTTCCTAAGGTGTTTAGGACTCCTAGTATGAGTTTGGTTCGTGGCTTTAGGCTGCCTACCTCGGGTATAAATAGAGGGGGAGCGTGAGGCTTCCCGGTATCGCTTTAGAGAGCAATTGAGTTTTGTTTTGAGTTAGGGTTTTGAGTTTGGTCGAAATTTTCGTAAGGAGTGCTGTTGGTGCACTTTGTAAACACAGAGAGAATCAATGAAGTCGTCATCCACTTTAAGAGTTCTTCGATTTGTCTTTACCGGGTTTCGGTGGTCTAACCGGCGATATACCGGCGGTCAGACCGGCGACAAGCGTCGGTCAGACCGGCGGCGGCGACAGCAAGCGACAACTGATCTCGGCGGTCAGACCGGAGATCTAATCGCGGTCAGACCGACGGCAACCAGGCGGTCAGACCGGCAGAGCAACTTCGGTCAAACTACGATCCGTCGAATTCGAGGGTAACTTTTATTTCCGCTAAAAGTTTTTGGTTTTTGGATATATCAACCATTCACCCCCCTCTGGTTGGCTTAGTTATTGTGATTCGATCCTACAAGTGGTATCAGAGCCTTGTTTTCTGCTTTGGATTTTTATCGATTTAGAGTTTTTGCCATGGCTACTCCTGCTAGGTTTTGAACTAAGCCTCATGTTTTCGATGGAACGGATTTTTCTCATTGGTGTAGTAGGATGCAATTTTATATTTGGAGAAAAGTTTCTCATTCTTATGTGATTCCTGAAGCTATTAATACTGCTGCTGAAAAAACTGCGTTTGAACAAAATTGTGAAGCTCGCAACATTCTTTTGAGTGGTATTTCTCGTTCGGATTATGATCATGTTGCGCATTTTCGAACTGCTCATGAGATTTGGAATGCTTTGAGTAACTCTCATTAAGGAACAAATAACATTAAAGAACTTCATCGTGATATTTTAAAAAAGGAGTACATTAAATTTGAGATGTGACTATCTTTCTAGGTTTAATAAAATTTTGAGTGATCTTAGATCTGTTGAATCTTCTTATGATGCTAATTATCCACAATCTGAGATTTCTCGTCACTTTTTGAATGGTCTTGACATGTCTATTTGGGAGATAAAAGTTACATCTATTCAGGAGTCTGTTAACATGTCTACTTTGACTTTGGATTCACTGTACACAAAATTGAAAACACATGAGATGAATGTTCTTTCTCGGAAAGTTGATTCTAAGTCGAGTGCTTTGGTTTCATCATCTTCTTCTATGGATGTTGATGCCTCTTCATCTAAGTCTTCTTTTCTGGCTATTTTTAATGCCACATCCGATGATCAACTCGAACAGATTGAGGAGGAGGATTTGGCTTTGGTTGCTAATAGAATTGCTCGAGCTATGAATAATGCCAGGAACAGGAAAAGAGGTGGTCCAAATCGTTGCTTTGAATGTGGTTCAATTGATCATCTTCGTTCGCATTGTCCTAAGCTTGGGAGAGGCAAAAGAGAAGACAAAGATGGTGAGAAGACCAACAACAACAAGTAAAAGGGTACATCCCAAGGGAGGAAGTTCAAGGAGAATCTTAGGAATGCTTTTGATCAAGTCTACGCCGCATTTGAACCATCAAGTGATGTAGGTGGTGAGACTGGAGATGAAGATAAGGGAAAGAACATCTCCGGTGTTTGCTTCATGGCGCGTGGTGAATCGGATATAGAATATGAAGATCATGAGGCTTTGGTGGCAAGGAAGGAGAACGTGTGGATCGTGGATTCCGGTTGTTCGCGGCACATGACCGGTGATAAAAATTGGTTCTCCTCTCTTAAAAAGGCATCCAAGACTGAATCGATTATCTTTGGTGATGCTTCTACAAGTGTCATTCTCGCTA